CTGTTTTAAAGAATGTATGCTATAAAAAAGACATGAGAAAGACCAATTAAACTGGTAAGAGAGACCTGTGAATGTGTGAGGAGATGAAGATATTCAGTGAACCTATACGTATAAACACTTCTTGACTGAGAGAATGATGAATTTGTCACTGTAAGTTATCTAATGATGTATGATCTAATGATGTGAACCTATAAAGCTCTGTCCATATTGTCTGATGATGTTTAAAGTTGGCATGACAAGAAAATTCATGATTCATCTTTAAAGTTTTTTTTGGAGCCTGTAGTTCTTAATCATAATGTTGAAAAACAGTGTAATGACAGGCGTCACTCTGGTTGCGTATGCTGGAATTTCCCAATCATTCAGCCCACTTAAACCCTTTCTTACAGTCGACTCTCTTCATCCAAGCAACAACCGGTTTATAGAACCAAGTCCCCACATGTGTTTCTTTTTTAATAATCTGTTACACTCAGCTGTATGTCACAATTCAAAAGAAACAATCTTTCGCTACTTCTTTTTATTAAGGCTTGAATCTGATAGGATAACATTTGTGTTTCAGTCTTTACACTTTTATGTTATAATTATCTACACATTTTTTATGTTTGCGAATCCTCATAGTTATATTATTGACAGCATCTAGAATGTAAGTGTTTTACTTACAGTACATAGAATATTGAATTCATGGAATTAATATTATATATACAGTATATATATATACTGTTAAGTTTACCTACATTTGTAGTTTACCTACATTACCATTTCTGTTAAGTTTACCTACATTTCCTTCAACCCTAAAACACAATTCAATGCGTATTTCAAACAGGTAAATCACCTGTGAAATATTAATACAGAAATATAATAGTACATCGGGTTGTATAAAGTGCAGTTTTGTTCTGTTCTGTGAGATTTACTTACAGTACATAGAATATTGAATTCATGGAATTAATATTATATATACAGTATATATATATACTGTTAAGTTTACCTACATTTGTAGTTTACCTACATTACCATTTCTGTTAAGTTTACCTACATTTCCTTCAACCCTAAAACACAATTCAATGCGTATTTCAAACAGGTAAATCACCTGTGAAATATTAATACAGAAAAATAATAGTACATCGGGTTGTATAAAGTGCAGTTTTGTTCTGTTCTGTGAGGTTTCTGGTGCCATATTCAACTCTTTCCAAAGTATTTCTTCACTTAAACCAAACTTTAACATGTTAAAATGAATGAAAAGTCTTTCATAATGATGAGTTTTTACATTTACAGCAATAAACACATATTTCAGCGTCTATAGGCAAGTAAACACTCTGAATCGATTGTTAGTGAATCACAGGACTTTTTTTTAATATTATATAAATCCAAATAGTCTGCAAAAACTGTGCAAAAACAAAGATAATTTGTTGCACATTCATCATATATACACTTCAGCTACAATATTTACACTAGATCCATTCAATTTCCTTCATCTTTTCATCTTCACACCCTCACTCTCAAGTATCTGGTTCTTGATCTCCCAGAAGAGCATGGCAAGGTCATTGTAACCTCAAAAAACACATTAGTAAGAGAAAAGAAGGAGGGGCGTGTTTGACAATAGACACAAAAACATATCAGAGGAACGACAGTGAATGATGCACAAAGGGGTGTGAGACTAAAAATAGCACTAAAGGGAAGTGGAGACCATATCTGGTTTAACATCTACAAGATTTATGGAGGGGAAGAGTTGCATTGTCATCCAAGGACATTTTTGTCAGTCTTATTTCAACACCCCATCAATACAAGTGTTGGGAATTCAGACAGACCGATAGGGAATGTGTCACCCCTGTTGATCTGAAGCCTATTACACTGCATTTCTGGTAAATTGTGTTTACACACACACACCCAGTGAGAGACTGTAAGCCAGCCTCACTGATTCATACAGCGTCAGCCTAAACAACATACTTGCAAACAGAAGGTTTCTCCCAGTAATGTGAGATTCCCCCATGAATGCCAATGAAATACTCCAACATTTTAGACTTGAATGATGCAGTACAGGGAATAATGGTGACTTTATATTAACTAGGTAGCAAATTAGATTATAAAGGCCTATATAATAACCAGGGCCTTCGAGAAGAAAAAAGAAAAAACACTGAGGCAAATGTAAATGGACCATCACAGTATAAACAATGACAGATGGAGGGTTACAGTCAGGAATGCTCTGACCTTGAAGGCGAATTTCATAATTGGTCTCATTTGCCCATGTTTTCTAACTAGCCGCCAGATAATTTTACCCTTTAATCTAACAAGTGGTGCTTTTTATTATTTGTACATTGAGAATAGCTCTGACCTTGAAGCTGGGTATAATTCATGGGTCTGATCTGCATGGTTTCTGTTTTATGACTAACCCTCCAGTTCATTTCCAGCCTCAAAAAGGGGTTTATCTTATTAACATGGATTCTAAAATGTGGCAATATGTCAGTTTTAAAAGCTTCTGGGATACCGATAATAGTATGACCACATAGCTGCAAATGAATGTGTGTGTTTGTGTGTGTTGTTTTCTAACCGCAGCACAGCATCAAAGTCATTGTGGCGGTGCCATCAGACAGCTTTTAATCATTTATGCACCGAATCTCACAGAATCGGATATGCAAAAGATTTACATTTCACAAACAGACATTGTATTCTTCAAGCCTTTCAATGTCTAAAGCAACAAAGGAGCACCCTCCCACCCAGAGCTCATCCTTCCAGCAAAGGACTCCTTTATTATTAATGCAATTGATTTTCAAAGTTCTGTGATACGTGTACCGAAGGCAAGCTTCCACAACGTTCTAGACATCCAATCCTCCGAGGAGCACATTTAATCAGTGGCAGCTAACAGCTGTTTACTGTCAGAAAGCATTCGATCAGGAATGAAACTCTGGGACACATTGTGAAAATAAATTAATATTCATTCTGATAATATTCCTTATCATAAATTTCTTAATTAAAAAATCATCTCAGTCAATTAAACATGCAGATTCAGGTACACAGTACAGAGATACTGTTGCAAAATGTGGTATCAAATGCCAAACTATTGTGTGCGAGATATCATGATGCTCGTCTCTTTAGATTCATCGGGTCACATAGAGTTGAATGATAAACAAGTCTCGGCGGCCATTTTTTTGTAATTCCCATAGGCAGCTATTTTCAGATTTGAATGGGGAAAGAACTAAATAATTTTACTACAAAACAATAATTTGACTAAATTATGTTTCAATATCATATGTCAAATCAGTAATATCTGACAATGGCATCGTTAATTGTGTTTCTATATGCACAAACAAAACAGCAAGTGTAAAGAGTACCTAAAAATCATACTTGAGTAAAAGTACAGATACCTTACAGTGAAAATTACTCCACTACACGTTACAAGTCACCAATTCCAAAACAACTTGAGTAAAAGTCCTCATTTCAAATGTAGTGGAGTAAAGAGTACAGATACTCATTCAAAAATGTAGTGAAGTAAAGAGTAAAAGTTGCTAATATCTTTGATACTCAGTACAACTACAAAGTACCCGAAAAGATACTCAAGTACAGTAACTAATTACATTTACTCCAATACTTTACACCTCTGCAAAACAGCATTTTTCAGGATAGTTCAGCTATAAGGTGTGGTTACATTTACAATTGTTTTGCAAATTTTTGTGGATAAAATCCAATGATTTCAATAGGAATGTACATGATCGGGATTTTCACACAGATTTTGCTGCGGGGTGAGCTTTATGTTAATAATAGGCAAGGGGCCTTTTTGGCCCGCAAAATTTCGCTGAACATTTTTCAGAAATGTTGCTAATGTGAATAATGCTAATGCATCTTAACGAGGAAGACGACATACTGCGTAAGGATTTTGGCCATATATATGTACAAGTTGACCGTCTCTGCCCAGTATAGCCAATTTTGTGGGAAAAAACACTGAAACAACACTATAGCTGCACCTGAAATCACATACTGTCTATTTGTGACCATTAAAAAGTATGTTCTATATAGTATGAGTTTGGGTATCATGCATGAAATCCGGCGTACTATATCCGCCACTGTCACGTGACCTATACCAGGCTCAATAGTGTTGCTTCACTGTCATTCACAACTCGTCTTTTGTGGCCTCATGGAATAGTAAAGTGTCCCCTGAATTCGAAGAATCTTGGTGGAAGTAGCTGGTCATCCGTGAATTTTTCACCTACTATTTTTTTTTTTTTTATTCAATGAATTTACTCTTTTTTGCTTACTGTACTGATGTAATAAGACACAGCATATGCATATGACAAAACTTGTTACATGTGTGCCCTGGGTACCTGAAAGGTTCAGTGACAGCACCAGCTTAAAAACACTAAACTGATAATATGTTTGAAACTTTCTGATTCATTTTGCCCTCTTTTGATTCATTTGATTATATGGAATATGATAACATCCGTTTTTTCTGCACAAAATGGCATTGCCTGTCCACCATTTTGAATTTAATTGAAAACTTTTTGAACTCACATGGTTATTAGATTTTCAACGCATTTGTGTCTGATAAGGCTGGACAAAATATATCAAAAGCTTTTCGATAGACTCTAATTCTCATGGAACACATTAAAATAACTGAAACCCTATACCTATTTAACTCAAACCTATTCCTGCCTCTAAACATACCATAACTCTGACTTTATTACTAGTATAGGCAACTCTCGCGATACTTTTATCAAGCGTTCCCTTCTAAAACCGAGTATTTACACGAAACTTTTTCTCATTAGCAAAATGCTCAATGACTAAACCATTTAAACTTGGTAAGTTAACTGTAAGCATTTGTATTATACGTAATTTTACCTATAAGACGTTTAGGGCTTTCTTAACTAAAATCACGACTGTCTACTGACATTTAGCCTACTCGTAGCATAAATTTTATGTCGATGTCTGTTGGGCCCCATAAAAGCATCTTACAGCTATTTAAATAAGACCCATTATAAAACCGGTATTCTCATCATCGCGTGTTCAGGCCTTACCTGTCCAAACACTGAGCTGAGGAACGGCCGCAGGTTGAAGTCTGCTTCAGAAGATGCTGCGCTGGACCTCCCCGATCTCCGGGAGGAGCGGCTGGAGGATGCGGGCACCGGCGAGGATGAGGCGGTGGAGGCTGGACACGCCTCTCTGCTCGATGAAGACCCCGGTCGAGCCAGTTGAGGTGATTCAAAAAAGAGAGCCGTTTCGTCCCTGGACTCGGAGAAAGACTGAGTTCTGGTGGGCATGCGAGCGGCGTGAGAGTGCTTGGGTCGGGGCTCCTGAGGCAGGTCGTCCCGGGTGGATCGGTGGCGGTGATGGTGATGGTGATGATGACGGTTGTGGTGATGGTGGTGATGATGATGGTGGTGTCGCCTGGCTGTCTTGCGCTCCCTTTCACTTGGAAGCTCCGACAGGTCCTCCTGACTGTGAGCCGTGGGAAGAGCGTGTCCATGGGAGTGGGAGTGTTGTGGGTGGCTCTTCTCTGCGCTATTCCGAGTACCGACCAGTGAGGGGTGACAAAGGGGTCTCCGCGAGCTCGCATCGCAATCCGCCGCCTCCGCTCCAGATGTCACCGCCGCGGAGCGCTGATGGTGTATCCGCCGGACTCCGGGATGATCGGGCGGCTGAGCCGCGCTCCTGGCCGGTGCGGAGGATCTCGATTCGCTTTTGGGGAGTGTGAAACTCATCTTTAGCCTAGTAAGATGCCCTTGAAGGTAAAGGCTGACCTCTGAGGTGTCACATTATTATCGTTTGAATATAATAGCCCGGTGTGGAGTGCTGAGAGTACATCGGAACCTCTTCGATGTCATGTTGCGCTTGAAATGATGCTGTCGAGATCTTCTCCTCTTGGAGTTGGTGCCACCTGATTGCTCCGTAAGGCGGTATAAGCGCTATTCTGGTAGGACGCGTAGGTAAGGGGAGATGGGCTAGGAAATAAACAAAAAAAGATTCAGAGAGAGAGAGAGAGAGAGAGAGAGAGAGAGGACACGCGGAACGTATGGTGTGCATCATCAGATGCCTGTGGGTGGCATAACACAACATGCAATGTATGGACCAAAACATATGGAAAGGATCTCTCTCATTGTCTAAGCTTCATTTGTGATATTTGTTTATAGCCTAAAGGGTACTTATGCAAAAGAGAATTGGATTGGACAAAAAATGCATTGTGACCAATGTCCACCCCCTATTGACATGATTAAAGACTTTCCTGGACGTTTAGAAATTAAGCAAATTAAGTATTTATTCTGAGACATGAAAGCAAGTAAAGCACATTTATTCATATGCAAATTTCTGAGCTAACACGTGTATCAGATAAAGTATCATTAGAATAGTTTAATGTAAAACATGTATTTAATATTTAATCATGTTCTGTGTAAACTTCAGAGGTATCAGGTTGATCAGATATACATAAAATAGCATATAATGCATGTTTAATGAAAAACTTGCATTTAATATTCAATTATGTCCTGTATATAATTCTGAGTTAACAGGTTTATCAGATAAAATATAATTAGAATAGTTTAATGTAAAACATGTATTTAATATTTAATCATGTTCTGTGTAAAATTCAGAGCAGGTTTATCAGATATACATAAAATAGCATATAATAAATGTTTAATGAAAAACTTGCATTTAATATTCAATTATGTCCTGTATATACAACTCTGAGTTAACAGGTTTATCAGATAAAATGTAAAAAAAAAAAAAAAGTTTACAATGCATGTTTAATGAAAATATGTTAAATATGTACTATGTAAAATTCTGAGCTAACAGGCTTATCAGATAAAATGCACATAAAATAATAGTTTACAATGCATGTTTAATGAAAAACGTGTATTTAATATTGAATTATGAGTAATGCTGATAATCACACTTTCATTTAAAATTGTTATAGGCCTTTAAAAATCTATTCATAAGAGTAACCTTCTATAATGACAAATATAAAAATTACATCATAAAAAATGCTGATCATGTCGGCGTCATTCTTATAACCTAAACTTTCTGATTGTATTTCTAACCCCCAAAATCTTCCACTAATGACCAATTAATATTATGAGTTTGAGTTGAGTCTGATACATGGCAACATGTACTGTTGCTAAGAAAATCTAAAATAAAATAAAAATAAAACAAAAATCTAAAATCAGTTACTCGCTTTTCTTAAGTAGATTCAGTGATTACTTTTTACAGTGTGTGCAATATACTATACTATGTATAATCGGCTTGAAGTAACCAGATCCATGAAGTATGACTGTAACAACAATCAGCATTCAGATATTCAGAAAAGTGATTGATTAATAATGTTTTTCATTGTTTACATTTTATTGTTCAGTTCAGTTCTTACTATTTTTCATTAGACTTCCCCAGTCTTAAGTGTTTGGTAATGTAATTGCCTTAAACTAAAAAACACATTTTCATGAACTCCAAAAAAAAGCCTCCCCATCCACTCAGGGTTTTCAACCATCTAGAATGTGCTCTGTGTCCCCAGGGTGATAAAGTTTTCAGAACACATCATGTTGAGGAGTTCTCTTCTCTCGCCCACAGATTTTCACTTGATTAAACACAGCACCCTATTGCGCTGCGTGTGCAGGACATCCCAGCCTCAGGCCACTCCACGGTCCATTTATTCCTTATGAACCAGAACTGAGACAACCTGCATAAAACATGACATTTAGACCCAAAATTCCACCTCTGCCTTGCTCATTCCAAGCCTTATTTTTAAAAGCCATCTTCAAATGTATGCAAACATTCACAACATTAATCCAAAGGGCAAGGCTATAGTTCAGTCTATATATAGGGTCGTAGTAATATTAGGAGACTGGGATATTATTTTTCTCTTCTGCAATTGTGCAGCAAAACATGCATGAAAAGAAAGAGTAGGCCTAATTAACATTTTTATTAGATTTTTATTATAATAGTATAAACTACTAAAATGATTCTGATTATCTTTCAGTTTAAAATTAACCTATTTCTCAGTCAAAATGCATAAAAATCTACTTCATTTTCCTTTTGTTTAAACGTGTCTGATCATTTGAATGTATATCCGTTTTTTGTTTTGTTCTTTTTTCTTCAGCAAAGGGCCTTTAGTTCGTAGGCCTTTTTTAGTTAGGCCTTTAATAACAGGGGTTGATGCAAATTACAGGCTTATGATGTGGTAATATCTGCCCTTTGAATTTGCAGATATCTAAACAGATGGTTAAATTGTTCTAAATATTCATGAATGTTGCCAAAATAAACGTATTGTAATACAAAATTTCATTTGATATTATTCAGCATACTTTTCTCCTGCCTTTCTCACATCTTTTGCATTCAGCAATGCAGGGTTGTTAGGAAAAAAATGGTTGTTGTTGTTGTTGTAGTGTGTGTGTGTGTGTGTGTGTGTGTGTGTGTATGTGTGTGCTGAAGCACAGACTGAGAGCTTGTCTGCTGTAGTGCTCAGAGAATGTGCCCTGCAGTGTCCCTGTCTGCTTCAGAATGTCGCTGCACTATGTTGCCAACCTCCAACATCCGTCACAATTTTCTCTTTCAGACACTGCTATTGGTAAAATGTGCCCTTTTGTGCTGATATAGGCCTTGCTCATCCAATTAAAACTCTTAACCTTCACCTTCAGAAGATGAGTGGAAACATTCATCCAGACTCGTTTTTAGCTGCTTGTACAGTCGCCCTGTCATATCCACCGAGAAATGACTGTCTAGCTCCCCCTTGCGTCAATGATGCTATATTGCAATAGGTAGGTGAACGTTTCAGTGCTGGTACATTCACACAGAACGAGTTTTTTTTAAAAAGAAAACAATTATTTTAATCTAATTTAGAACGCCGTTTCACGCGAGACACGAGCTCAAACGCGAATAGCGTGTTTACACACAAAAACAATGAAAAAGCAGCGCAGTGTGGTGCGGTATGTAAAGTTTCCTTTTACATACATTTGAATGTATAGTGCTCTTTGCTAAATTTATATGGCCTGGGTCCAAATTATTACAAAACCGACCGCTTGGGAAAATACATTTTCAGTTTTTAGAAAGGTATTTAATCCGACTATTCATCTGAAAGGTAACATCTGTGTCTGCCAAAAGTGGATCAACACATTTTACATGTAGGTTCGAAGTCCATTAATATAAGAAAACGATCATGTGAGCCTTTATAGGGATATAAGTATTGCTTGTAATGCTATTCTAATGATTTTCTGTATTATTAAAGACTTACGAACAATAAACTGAATATTAGATCTGCAATTTCTGCAAAATGCCATCCAGAGAACAGATATAGACCGTAGGTGGATTACATCTGCCGTTTCATTAATCTACAATTTATCTCTCCCCTCTGTGTTAGCAAAAGAGGTTAGTTATGTAAATCTCCAAAGCTGCAGTCTGATAATGGCTGCTGTTTGCAGCACTACCCCTCTATCTGCCACCCCCATATACAAAATCCTCCAAACAGCCAGTGTTAATGTTTGTCGGAAAAGCAGGAATGTTCCTGTGAAGAAGCACATTTTGTTGTTGCCAGATCTCTTTGTTCATAAACACCCAGTTAATTTGCATTAATACAAAACACTATTGTGCGTTATGCTATTTTTGAACATATTTAAATACAAGCACCCACAAATTACACAAATCAAGATATTATCCCTCATGTTGTGTTCCTGTCATTTTGACCCAGAGATAATTTTTTCTTTTTTTTTTTTGTCATCACTTTGGACAAAAACTTACTGACTTTGCTCATACATTGTATAACAATGTGATTGTACAACATTGTGATGTTTCCATTCAAAAATGACCGGCCTACAAAAAAATTGCTTGTAAATCTCTCATTATGCTATATTATCATGAGATACGTTCAGATCAGTGAGGTCTATGATCAATCACTCGCAAAAAGAAATACAAAATCTGTACTAATTGAAAGAAACAAGTTGACAAAAAGACTGAATCCAAGATTTGGTGGTAATAATGAGAGAATTACAAGCAATTTTTAAAAAGGTTGGTCATTTTTGACCAGGAAAACCAAATAAGGTAAAGGATTTTCAGCATGGCACAAGGGTTAAATTAAATCTTTATTAAATCTACAGAATTACTCATCCATTGCAAAGTGAGTCCATGGCACACAATTTGGAAACATGGACGTAGGAACGTTGTCATAAAATTGATCTGCAACTCCAAAAGTCTCACATTGATATAAAATGTCACTTCTCACGAAACGGTCTCAAAACTGCCTGTCGGCTTACAAAAGGAATGTACCAATATCGATGAGACAACCACGAAAGCTCTGCTTCCAAGCAGTACGACAAAGCACAATAAGGTAGAACCTAGCACATATTAACAGCCAGAACGTTGTGTTTTCCAAACTCAATAAGCGTCGTGTCCCTCTTTAAGTTTCAGAGATACAAAGCGATTGATAGCGCGTTTCGATATGATTCGAAAATTCAGGGTAGGAAAGAGTAAAGTGGAAAGCAGGCTGATTTGATGTGCTCGTATTCTTCCCCATTGAAGCGCTCCGACCCTGACTTAGGTGTGGCGGCAAAATAACTTGCCACTAGTGCGTTTAATGGTGGTCATTTTACACAATAGTTGGTAGTGCTTCAGCTCACTTCGCATAACATCTCTGCCATATATCCACGTTCCTTCGCTGTAAATGTCAAATGCCCTGTCATTGCAGCATGTCGTTTTACGACTGTTTAGCTTAGCTTCTGTAAGCCTAACCTCAGTAAAAATGTACAGACCAAACAATGTACTGTGCTTCCTATACAATCCTACCTGGCTGTAATGACCAGGCTTGGCCAAAAGTGCATTTCCATGTGCGGCTGACTGTCAATGCTTTAGGTGAAATGATTCTATGACACTCACTGGGTATAAATGTGACCCTGCAGCTAACAACATGAACACGAGGGCTTCGTCTCAAGCACAGTTCACCAGCAGGTTTTTGCTAT